TTAAAAAAAAAAGCGGTTTCTCTTCGCCTGCCCCTTACAAAGTACCGTTTCTAACGCTCTGGATACCTGTTCGCCGCGAGGAAGGGGTAACTCCTCAGAAATGACCTCTTGGCACTCCTCCCTGCCGGGACTTCAGCGGGGTTCTGCCGCCCTTACTGCCAGTTCAGTCGCCTTCCAGGTCGGAAGAAAGCGAAGGGGGGCTTCGTTCAGGAGGGAGGTCACAGTTCGACTTCATTCATCCCTTTTTGTGTCTGCAGGTCAGGTCACTTTCTGTTGTTAATGCAAACAAATTCTGTTGTTAATAGTGGTGGAGAAAAAAAACCCCAAACCCTGGCAAAAAGCCACCTCGCAGCCATCATCCTCCTCAGAGACAGGGTACCAGGGGCTCCGAGGGGACAGGGCTTCACTTTTCATTCAGAGATGTGACCCGCGGCTGGGTGAGGTAACACTGTCCTAGTAACGTACCTTCTAGGTAACTTCTCAGTGAGACAACCTCACTACAAAACCGCTAGCTTCAGCTTTAATGACAGGGCTTGCGCTGTGCCTGTTGGGCTGGAATCCCTCTTCCCGGTGACCTCCTGATGCTGTTCCACTAATTGCAGTGGAGCTATTACTGACGCCTTCCTATGTTGATGGGAAGAGCCTCTGTTTTTTTCCAGTGGAATAAATGTGCCTGGTTTGTGTTGGCATTCTTCTTGGCTGTCCTTTTCACATCTTCAGCATAACGCTGGGGAAGAAACGTAAGGAGATGAAAGAAAAATGTGCTGAGATGACCACTGTCTCTTAAAGGAAAATGAGCTGCTTTCAATAATTTTTCCATCAGGCCCTTTTGGAAGAGTGGAGTGTGTTTCATTCCTCACTTTAGCCAGAGGGAGCTTTTCTAGGTATTGGCTTTTAAGGCAATCAATGGCCTCTGCGTAAGTGACTGTTGCTGCCTGATCATGTGAGGACAGGCTGGACCCAACGCGCCTCCGGAAGAAGTTAATGTGCCCGGCTTTGCCAGGCAGAGCCAGTGGTGCATGTCTAGCGAAGTCTTTCCTCTTTTTCTCCTAAGGAAAAAAAAAAAGGGAAGAAATTAAAACTTCACCATAAATTATCTTTTTCTGCTTTCCTCTACAAAACCCCAGCTTAGCACAAGGCTACTCAGAGGAGGGTTGTAGCCATTTGCTATTTTCACTAGCAAAAACAGGTCAGTCTTCCCCCACATCCGTGAGCCTGCACTGCCTCTTGTTCTGTCCAAAAGCTGTTGGTGAACAGCTTTTATGAAATAATACAGTGGAATAGCAGAAAAACATGCTGGAGACAGCTTGGGCTCCAGGCTCCCTGCCCTTCCTACAGATCCCAGAAACTGCATCTGCGCGAGTACCTTCGGGTTCTGAAGGCACTGGCACCCCGACACTTCACACTTTGATTACACTGTCAGTGGTCAGGTTTTACTTAAAATATGCTCCGGGTGGGCAGAAGGAGCGTGGTTTAGCCTCTGGCCAGCTCTGGGTCCCACTTCAATGGAAAATAATGCAGGGAAAGGTGACTACAGTTTTAAAGACGGGAGGGTCTGTGTAGCATCAGTGATGGTGTATGCTCCTGGTTTATTAATTAAATGAGATAGTTGTCTTGGTTTCACGTCATCATCTGACGTCGTCAGAGCTTAGCTAAGATTACAGCGAAGGCTGGGGGTGTACTGCTGTTGATCAGCTTTTGATGTCCCACAAGAGCTCCTGTTGGGGCAGAAGCTCTTCATTTTGGATCTGTCTGTGCAAGGGTTTGGGCTGCCAGATACCGTCAGGAAAATCTCCTTTCCCGACCCCTTCAGAGAGAAGCGCTGGCAGAACACATGTGGTGAAGGAGGCTCTACTGATGAAGAGCAAACTTGCTGTCACTAAACGGTGCGGGTGAACTACTCGGGGAGCTTGTGCCATTCTCTCCGGTGTCTCCGAAATGGGGGTAAAGGTAGCCCGTCGCCTTTCTGTATTATTACCAGTTTGGGTTGCTTTTAAAGTGCAGAGCATCTCGCAGTTTAGAAAGAGGCAGTGGAAGTGCCTTCCCTCCCACCCACCCCTGGGAAAATCTGTAAGCAGTTTTTACAAATTGGTCTGGGCTGCGATGGTTTTCACCACTGTTGTACCCCTCATCCTTGTGGTACAGCTGGACTGTTGGGGGTAACACACTGGAATCGGGAAAGAGCCTCATTGGCACTGCAGGTGATAATTACAGGAGATGTCAAGTAAACACTGATTTTTATGACAGTATTCTAATCAACTTTTGATGTTACCCCTCTAGCCAGTTAGTTCTGTGCAAAATTATGTCCCTGGTACCGTGCGTGTTCAGCTTCACAGACATAAAGCAGAACATCTTGCACTTTGTCTTTCAGCTCCTCCAACGCCTGTAAACTTCACCTTAGAAAGTTCTTGATTAGAAATCTGGAACTAATGCTGGTTTTAAACCCAAGGTTTGTTTATTGATGCTCAGAACGGGGGGGGGGGGAAGTGCTCATTGTATTCTCTTTGGCAGAAAAGAATAGCATCTCTCCTACGTAGTGGAAGCCACTGGAGCTCTTCCTTTCACTGCCAGTTGGAGTGGGAGCACTCGGACGGCAGCGCAGGTTATACGCTCCAGATCCGTTCGTTGTGCAGTAGAGAGCTGTTGGAGACATTATATTTTATTTAGCTTTGTATAGTAATTTTATTGGTGTATATTTGGAATTAAATGTTTTTGTTACTTATTCATGGAACATGTGATTGCTTCTCAGTCCCTGGAAGTGGAGGATTGTGCAAGTTTATTGCTGTTTCTGGTCATGTTAGGGCTTAAGTACCTCCGTGGGCTGGTGGTGATAGGTCACCCTGGGTTCTCAGTGCCTATGGATGTGTTTATGGTTTTGTGTTTACAGTAGCAGCACTGAACGTCTTACAAGACAGCGATGGCTTTTTCCCTAGAATTTGAATATGGAGGCCACGGGGACAGATGAAGTAGAAAAGATAAAATCCAAGTTTATGTCTGCATGGCACAACATGAAATACAGTAAGTGAAACAGTGAATGGTGAAATCCTGCTGCCTTTGAAACGAGCGGAATGTTTCTTGTCCACACCAACAGGATCATGATTTAGGAACTTCACTAATATTATGAATGAAAATGCTCAGTGGCCCTTAAAGCTATTTTTACTTAAATATACTAAACGACCCCAGTAAACAAACCCGTTTAGCTTTTCATTTTTCAGATCATCATGGTTGCTTTTTAAATCTCTTACTTTGAAAGCAGTAAATACGTTATGTAAATGACATACGATTTGCATAGATTTTTAAAGATGCATAATATGGGATCATCTGAACAAAGATCATTTTTATATGTATTTTTCTGGGAAAAATAGGATGTTGTGTGAAATACAGACTCCACTAAAGAATTTACTTCGCACACTCGAGTAACATACTTTTCCACAGCTGAGCATCCGTAATTTTTGTTCATAAGCAACCGGATTTTCACGTGAGCCCTTTACCAATTTGTCCTTAACCTTAATTTTTCAGCTCTTCCTCTAGGACTGAGGTTGCTCAGATTTATCACCAGGTTTCTGATAAATTCTGTGCTTGCGACCGAGCCTTGGGGATGTCTGGCAAGATGAAGAGATACTTTTCTTCTACTTTCTTTAAGGCTACCACGTGGCTGAAGGGGACCAGTAGTCATTACACCCTGTATGTGATAGGCAGAGTTCAGGAAACTCTATGGATTTAGGATGTAAAAGACCATAGGATGTAGACTTCAGTGAAAAAGCTGCTGTCTGGGGATACTGGCAGAATCTAAAAACTGAATTCTGGCCACTTGAATTTGCACAGGGTATTTTACAACCCTTTTTTGTGTCTGAAATCTGCAATTTAACTTTGTCATGAAGGATGTTGCATTAAGCCTACGGGAAAAGCAGTACTCCTCGTGCATTTGCACTGGTCACGTGTGAAGCCCATTGTGTGCTGTTACCGGAGTTGGAAACCTCACAGAATAAACTGCAGTAATGAAGTCGCAATAGAGACAAAGCAACCTACGCTCAGCTGTAACCTTTCTGTATCCTAACAGTTTCTGCGCAGCAGTGCCATTGTTTTAACATTCCAACGTTCATATATGGGCAACATCATTACTTCTAAACCAGATCTTTAGTCTGTTCTGTGGAACTATTAATTTTTTTGTTATTTATGCAAGCAAGACCCAATTTCTGTACATTTTCTCTGTATTCCCCTTCCAAGGGTTACCTGTGGTTTAACCAGATGCTACTAGGAATTCCTTTTTTGAATGCTTCTGTCACAAATTCGTATTTGTTTTGTATCCATTTCAGGTTGGGTGTTGAAAACAAAAACTTACTTCAGTAGAAACTCTCCTGTCTTTCTGCTGGGGAAATGCTACCACTTCAAAACCGACGGTATGTTCGCAGCACTTAACTCACTCTCCAGTCTTGTTCGGCAGGAGGTCTGTGGGTATATTCTTAATCTTCTAGAAAGACCTTCATTAACAATTACCAAATTCAAAATGTAGATGTGAAAAGCTTAGAAAACACTCATTTAAATGTCCAACGCCACCACTAATGCAACCCATCCTGACCTGTTTTGTTCAGACTTTACCCTGGAGTCTTGTTCTTACTGTAACTAGTAGTGCTCTGATTTGCACTTGACTTCACTTACCTATCCATTTGAGATTTTCTCTCTAAAAGCTCCTGGTTGAACAGTGACAGTGCCTGCGGGAAGAGTCAGTGCGCCATCGCCATCGCCACCATTTTCCACAATGCAGTGTTCTGAGAATCGCTATCTGACCATTTACATTTAGGTGAATTAAGCAGTTGCTGACTCGCAAGTCGACGACTCCACTGACACAGCAATGCTGGCTGCATTGCTTTTTTCCTTCTTTCCCCAGCTGGCATGTTTCTGTTACGTTCCTCTTGCCATTTTCCTTTCTTGTACTTGAAGCAGTTGTTACTTTTTATAAGTTTGCCCTGTTTTCCTCGTAGAACAGTTGTGTGGTTTTTATTTTCCTTCCAGTATCAGAAGCGCCATACCAGGTTATAAGTTGAACTGTACTTTGCCTTGCAGAATCTGGTGAGCTCTCCACAGATGGGTCCCGTTTCAGTAACATCAACACTGAGATTTCAGGAAACGTTGAGGATTTCCGCAAGGATTTTATTTCTAGAATATGGCTGACTTACAGAGAGGAATTTCCTCAGATAAAGGGATCTGCGTTAACAACAGACTGTGGCTGGGGTTGCACGCTGAGAACGGGGCAGATGCTGCTGGCTCAAGGTCTCATGCTTCACTTCCTTGGCAGAGGTGAGTTAGGAGAGAGGATCCAGGTCTCTGGCACGGTAAGCGTGGGTGATCTCTGGAGTGGGAAGGTCTCTGTGTAGCCCAGATCTGAAGTGCAAGCTGGTTTTGGTTTGGGAGTCCTCATTCATGCTGGGATTATTGCACTCCATCGGAGCTGTCCTATTGCTCCGTGTCTGAAAAAGGGAATACCAGAGTGTGTCAGAGGAAGACACTGGAAACCACAGAAGTGAACTGCAGAGTAAAATAGCACCAAAATTTGTGATCCCGTACCCGGGTATCGTTACTATCCATGCAGTGTCCGGTTCTCCTGGAAACGTGCTCATTTCTTGAACGAAGATGTGGGAACGAGTTCCGCAGCCCATAGCTGTGGGCTATGGCAAAAGTGATGTTCTTTTATCAGTTGTGAAGTTGTACATTATTCAGTTTCTTCTCATATGAACATATTGAGCTAATAGAAGGATTCTAATGTAACTTCAATACATCATTCTTTGTGTTGAAATTTTCACTATTTCATTTCCTTCCTTCACTCCACGGACTTACAGAGGAACTTCCCTTTTTTCCTTGTCATTGTCTCTCGGAATACTCTGTCACAGCTGTTGGAAAGAAGTAGCTTTAGGAGACTCGGAACGCTTTCTGCTTTCAAAGCCTAAGCGTGCATGTCCTCCCCATTCTTCCATGCTGAGCCATGTCCTTCATTGAGGTATCTTTGGTTCTCCTAGTTAATCACCTTTTCTTTCCATCCTCTTCTCAATCTGCGGCGTTGCCCCTTTCAAAGAGTCGGGTGTGTCCTGTCACTGCTTCTTGTTACCAGTGTGAGCCAAGACACGGACCTGAAGCCGCCTAGGCATGTTAGAGAGAGCGCAGAGTATTGCTCAGCCCTTTGGTGGAGCCCAGGAATACGTCAGTAGAAGGCAGATCCGAAAGCTTGTTTTGACAAGACTTGGTACTCACTGTGCAAATGTGATGTAAGCCGTGAGCGTAGCCCCAGACCAGCTGCATCAGAGTCCTCTTTGTGACCAAACTGTCCGATTGGCTTACTGATGTCCCTTTGGCTGTAGATATTTAAGTCATAGAGCATTCGTTCTCCCTCTTAACTGACTGCAAATATCAAAATGTCTGAACATACTTCTGCTCAGAACACAAATCCCTTAAAGATGCCTTTTTCTTTTTTTATGCATACATTTAAAAAAATTCAAAATCTGATGAGAAGACTACCTTTGAGTAGGAAAGCTTAATGGTTCATTCTGAAGTAAGCCCAGACAAAAAAAGCCCCAGGTTTCTATCTTTAAAATCCTGGTTACAGAGAATTCCTTGCACTCTCCCCCATGCATCTTCATTTGGAAAGTGATTCGGTGACTCCAGAGCGCGAGTGTTTCTGTGGCAATCCAAATGCACAGAAAACTGGGTTATGTATGGTCTTTCTGGACTACTTTTCTCATCACCTAGTCTTCTGACAGCTGGTGAATTATCTTTTGAAAAGCTCTTTATGAGGTCTGGGTACCTTCTGAAGCATGTGTAAGTGTTTACGTGAAGTTTTTCATCGCTGTTTACTCTTTTCCCAGAGATGTGTTCATTATGGTGTAATGGGTTTGTTGCTGTTACAAAGCAAAACTTGACTGCAGTTGCTGGCTGGAAAACTGACACTTCCGCTGCTGCGTGGGTATCGCTAAATGAGGCTGTAAATGAGTTTTTATTTTAATGTTTAAGGTACTGGCAAGTGTCACTTTGGAACACCTGTGGGTAAGGCACTGACTTCAGTTTGAAGCTCAGGGGACAGGGACTAGCAAGGCCTGCGATACCCATACGTTGAGTTGCACGTGTGTCTGCAATGGAAAAGTCAGAGGAGGTTTCACAGAGGTTGAGCCCTTGGTGCGGGGTGGTTGTCACGCTGTAATAGGAGCGGGTGACATGGATTGTGGCCATTACCAGCGACACCTGAGACATTGCCTCGAATCCTGGGCTCAGTTTTGGGCCCCTCACGACAGGACAGACCCTGAGGGGCTGGAGCGTGTGCGGAGAAGGGAACGGAGCTGGGGAAGGGGCTGGAGCACAATTCCTGTGAGGAGCGGCTGAGGGAGCTGGGGGGGTTCAGCCTGGAGCAGAGGAGGCTCAAGGGAGACCTTATCGCTCCCTACAGCTCCCTGAAAGGAGGGTGCAGAGAGGGGGGTCGGTCTCTTCTCCCAAGGGACAAGTGATGGGACAAGAGGAAACAGCCTCAAGCTGTGCCAGGGGAGGGTTAGATGGGATATCAGGGACAATGTCTTCCCGGAAAGGGCTGTCAGGATTGGAAGGGGCTGCCCAGGGAGGGGGGAGTCCCCATCCCGGGAGGGGTTTCAGAGCCGTGTGGACGAGGTGCTGAGGGACAGGGGTCAGTGCTGGGCTGGGCAGTGCTGGGGTAATGGTTGGACTGGGTGAGCTTAAAGGGCTTCTCCAACCCAAACTATTCCGTGATTCTCTTACAGGAGCCCTCAGTTAGATTTTAGAATTAAAATACAGTTGCCTCTGTGCTCCCCCTTTGTTTCTCAAGGACTTTTATGGGGATACTTCAGGAAGAATTATGAGGAGGGCTGCAGTTGTTGCTCTCTGTCAGAAAAGGTTCCTCTCGCTGCTCTAACAGCAGCTTTCTGAACCTCCGGGAGCTCGCCCAAATCTGAGCAAAAGCCCCTCGTCCGTGGGGTTTGTTCCCCACGTGTTCCTTGCACGTGGCAGCCCTCCCCGTGCCTTCCGGGATGGTCACGGCAGACCTTCGGGATGGGCTCTGATCTAACAGGACGTTCACTGTGTTGCCGAGGTTTCCTCACATGCTCCCTATTGCAAGTTGTTGTTTGAACTTGTGGGAGAGACTTTCTGTCACCTGACAAGAGACGTGTTACTGCTCCAGATTTGCTGAACGGCCGTTACGCCGCAAGAGGAAGGCTGCGCGTCGGATGCACTGTGAGAGAAGGCTTAGCTGGCAGTGCTGACTGTAGATACTGTGCTGAGTAACAGTTAAACCAGTTTGTATTGTAGTCTAGGTAAAGAATTCACAAATTTAGTGAACAAAGAAGTCCCGTCTGTTTTTCTGCTGACCAGGTTTGACATTTTGCCAGGAAGTGTTTGTTTTTACATGAATCATTCTTCAGGTTTGCCTATTCTTTTAGTAACTGACAAACCAGAAGAGTTAAAACCAGCTTTTGAAACTTCTTGTTTGATGTGGATACAAGTTTTTAGATGGTACTAAATAGCTAACTTTCATATTTGGAATGTGTAAGGCAGTTCTAACCTGTGCCTTGTAGTCAGGTTTATCTCATGTTCCGGGTGGACTGGGGTGGTGGAGCCTGACCCCTGTTTCAGGTAGCATAAGTTGCTAGCAAATTTATTTAGCAGTATTTTGTTTCACCTGTCATTCAGCAGAAAATGAGATCAAGTCATACTTCACTGGAGTTCTTTGCTTACATTTTAACACTGGCACTTGCACCTTGGTTTGTAAAGTACACGCTACTGCTGTAAGGGTTGCGGGGGAGAAAGAAAGGGATGTGCTCTGCCAGTTGTACCAGAAAGTTGGTATCAAGCCTAATGTGCACCTTAAACTTCCTCGCTGCAGCCTGGGTCTGGCCAGACGCGTTGGACGTTGACAGTTCAGACTCTGAATCGTGGACAGCCCATACAGTAAAAAAGCTGACGGCATCGTTCGAAGCGTCGCTCACAGCGGAAAGAGAACCCAAGATCCTCTCAAATCATCATCGGGGACCGCTGAAGAGAAACTGTGATGGCGATGAAATGAGAAACGACGTTTATCACAGAAAAATAATTTCCTGGTTTGGCGACTTTCCGCTGGCAGCTTTCGGCCTACACCAGCTAATAGAATACGGAAAGAAGTCTGGAAAAATGGCTGGCGATTGGTACGGGCCCGCAGTCGTTGCACACATTTTAAGGTAATAACACCTTCATTCTTTGTTGCTACCGTGCCTTCCACGCTACAGGAGAGGTGTTTCGAAGGGTCAGGAGATTACTGCAGCTTAATTGAGCCTCTAACGGTTTGTTCTCGGCTTTTTAAAGTGTCCACATCAGTAGCAATTCTGGAGGCTTCTCGGAGGCAGGAAGGGCGAAAGCAGAAGGCTCAGGAACTGAACTCTGAGCTTTTGTTCAGGCTCGTTCTGGGGAACAAAACAAAATTCCTGTTTTCTGTACTCTGAGCCGCAGAAATCCCAGATATGTCTCCTGAACCTGGGCTTTTAAGTAGAGCTGCATTTAATGAAATGTTCTAAAAACTAACCACTCTTTCAACCTTGGAACATGCATAACATTATAGATTTTTTTTTTTTTATACTGTAACCTGGGGGCTGTAATGTACTGATAGTGTAATGAAATGTCAGAGCTAAAATTGATGTTTTCAGCATTTCTTTGCACACATCAAATCCTTGTGAAACTGTAAATGTATGGGACTATTAATATTATAATTATATCACAGTAAAAGTAAAGGGTCTGTGACATTCAGAGTGGCTAAAAAAAAACGTCGAAAGTCAAATTTCTCCGTACTGTGTGCCTTTACACCCCGTTTCTTTGGGTATTACTGATTTTTTTTGTTGGTTAGTTTTGGGGTTTTATAGCCTTATATGCTTATGTTCTTAGCGTGTTCCAGTTTACCTATAAACTGAATCACTAATAAGTCCCTTCAGCCGCAGAAGCCAGGGTTCATACCTGGGTCTATAGACAATGTGAATGGAAGAATTTGGTGTTTAGTGTAAAAGCCTACTGATCCGAAGTGATCCGGTGCTGAAATAATCAGGTGTATGTGTGTGCCTGCACGCCAGCACACACACTGATGTGAGAGCTCAGCATTATTTATGTGTCGTCTTCTGCTTTTCTGGTGATGGGAATGGCCAGAATCCTTTCTGCTCGCTTTGAACTGCAGCAGCCCGTTTACCTAATGGGGCCGGGGGAGGATTTGGTCCAGAATTCCATCAGCACAAACCTACCGGTGATTCTCAACACGGGCAAGGTTTCCTTTCCTCGATCTCTTTGCTGTCGTACACAGCACTAACAACACATAGTGCACTCCGAACTCCAGAACAACGGTATTAAACGATTCCTCAAAACAGTGAGGAGTAAAGGGATAGTGACCATTTAATGCAACGTGTATCGAAGTCAAAGGCTAATCTTGTATTTTGAACAGTTTAATTTCTTTATAGTTGTTGTCCTTGACTGATGATCATGCTTCAGACTATCGACATATATTTTTCTTTCTAGTTTTGGGGTCCATTACTCTTACTCTTTTGAGGCTAGCCTAATACTGCAATTATTTTTTGAAAGTTTTGATGAAACCTTACAGCTTTTTATATGCTAACTTTCATTTCTGTAGACGTGAGCTGCCAATCTGTGGCCAGTTCTGTGAACTGAGGTCAACCAAAGAGATCTATTGAGTTGAAAATAGTATTTGTTGTCAGCAAATTTAGCCTTTACTATCCCAATATACGTGACAGAAAATTGTTATAAGCACAAATAAATTAGGTAGTGAGTATGAATTTCATTGTCATCTAATGTGTGGGGTTTTTTGTGGGTTGTTTTTTGTTTTGGGGTTTTTTTTTGTTTGTTTGGGGTTTTTGTTGGTGGTTTTCATTGTTTCTTCTAAATAGCCAGACACTGTCATCTTTGTTTGGGAAAAACATGTTGCTATATGCACTGAATCTTTGTATCCAGTGTTTAAAATCAAACAAACCCTCCCACTCCCCCCTCCATCTGTATTTTCCAGGAGTGGAAGGTGTGTTGAATTGAAAGAAAAAAAATCCCAAACACCCAAAAAACCCCAACAACAAACAATTAAAACCAACCTGTTCCGAAAAATCAAGTAATTTAAGTTTACTTACTGTTCATTTCTTTAAAATCGGGTTAAATAGTTTTGTGTTTGTACTTAGAAAAGCTGTTGAAGAAGCCAGAGACCCTGAGCTACAAGGAGTTACAGTCTATGTCGCTCAGGATTGTACAGGTAAATGTTGTGATTGTCTAGAGTCTTGCAAACAGTTCAGATGCTTTTTATGACTTTCAGGAAGCACGTAAGCTCTACAGGAAGAATAACCTCAAAAATGGATCCACAATGTTGGGGTTATGTAGACAAAGGGGTTCTTGACACATGGGATGTTTGTTCTCTTTGAGAATCAGACATCACAACTCGACAGCTTCGTGCGCTGCTTGTTGGGTGTCTCACAGCGGAATTCCAGATCCAGCCAGATAACTTTTCCTTACAGTCTGCCTCACTGTCTTACTTTGGATGTAAACGAGTTAATAATCTGGTTTGTACTCACTCCCATGTTCTTTTAGCAATAAGCTAGTAACAACTTCCACCTCTCACTAAAAATGACCCCCAAAAACCAACCAAACAACTGACAAATACTTCAGGTAGATTTGTTAGTTACGTTTTGTCTTTTGCACCCCAGGATTCTCTTTTAGCCAGTTTTCTAGTGGGGAAAAAAGTAAAACCAAACCACTGCACCAGGCTCTTAGAGTGGTCAGAAGTCGTTTTGGCTTGGAGGCCGAAGATGTGAGCAGGATGGTGAACCCAAGGCATGGGAACCTGTCCTCTGCTCCAGCGTGGCGTTTGGAATAATCAGTAGCGGGCAGAGGGGCAGAAAAGGGTGACAAGTAAACTGAACGTGTGGTGAGACTGCACCAATGACTGTCTTTCAGCTCTAAGCAGAGCATGTTCTCTCAGGAGCCATGTTTAGCTGCCGGCATGTCCGTCCTGTCCCAAGATGGACCGAGACCGACATCCCTGGCTAATCAGTCAGACTGCTTTAGGGAGATACTGTTTCATCATACACTACAAACCAGTTTCACCCGTATGTACAATGACAGTGGAAGCTTAAAGTTCTATTAGTTTTTCACTTCTTTGATAATTTTCCACATGGAGGGAATAAGCAATACTACACTGAGATTTGTCACGTGTTTTCAGCGACTCTTGTGTGAACTTGAGTATTTATTCAAATCAATCGTTGGGTTTTTTTCCTTTAATATGTAGATGTTTGTTAGCTGCAGGCTTTCAAGTTGCAAACTGCTCCTTTTAGAACAAGCCTCTATCAAGAGAATAAATATTTATGGGCTTTCTCCTGCCCCCCGCGTTCCCCTGGGGGCCGCAGCAGCAGATCTCCCTCCTGCTGCTGAAAACGAGGGGTAGCGCTGTTCTGAGGGTCGCTCAGGAGTTAGGGGTCAGGAGGACAGTAATACCCTGGACTACGGTCTCCGTTTGTCCGACTGATGCCGTCTGGTGGGCGTGTCTTGGTAAAAGCTAGCGGATATGTTTTGCATATTAACATTTCCGTGGGTCTCCTTTCAGTCTACAGTTCAGATGTTACTGACAGACAGTGTTCCCTCACGGACTCGGGAAAAGCAGAGACAAAAGCTGTAATTATACTGGTTCCTGTGCGACTCGGTGGAGAGAGAACAAACATGGACTACTTAGAGTTTGTAAAGGTATGAAATGAGGGTTCAATCATTTTTCAAATAGCAGCACTAGGCGCTAGGAAAAGTGACTTCGCGGCGGTAACCGTCTACCTATTAAATGTGTGGTGGTGGTTTTACAGTTGAAGGTTGTAAAGTTTGACTTTACAGATTTTAAATTTCCCTATTACAAGATCAGACGTAATTGCAGAGCACATGATGTCCCTGGGTAAAGCGGTGAGAACCGTCCTACTCCCCAAGTAGCGACCTGAAAAGAGATTAATGCAGTGGCTCAAATTACAAGTGGCAATTTCGTTCCATATGCTGTTAGAGTTGTGCTGTAGCAAGTATCAGTCAGCATTTTAAAATAGAAATATACCAAATTCCTTAGTCTCTTTCTCATTTTCTTAGATGTCAGATGGTTTAAGGCTGCTGCCCGTCTGTTCTTCCCGTTTTCTTTTGTCTTTTCCTTCCCCTTACGAGAGGGGTTTGAATTTGGTGCTGTCTCTAGTGACTGCTTCGAGTGTGCTTTTCTCTAGTGACTGCTTCGAGTGTGCTTTCCCTGTGTGGACGTGGGATGAGCGTTTCGTTTCTGAGGGCAGCGATGCAGGAGTAGCAAGAAGTTACCACCATTTAAAATGAATTAAAACTGGAGCAGAGGGGCGGGAGGTCTGTGCTGCTCTCTTTGTTCAGCAGAGGCTCTGACACCTGAAGATGCACCGTAATCCTTCCTCTTAGCACAAGAATGCTTCTCTTCGGGAGGGGATTGTTCTCTCAGCCCTGCTCTTTCACTGCTTCCATCCTGCTGTTTATCTGTCTTTAACTTCTCGTTTTAATTTTTAAAACACCACGATTTAGTAGCATGTACAAAATCTGGGAGTCTGCTATGTCCTTTTTTTTTTTTGACTGTGGTGATGAAGCCTTTTATTTAAGTGATGAACTAATAAATAGGTTTTCTTTCCTGAATTTTTGCCTTGTATTTTCCGACAGTTGGTTTTGGGGAGGTGTAGTTCTTTTCTGATCAGTTCTGGCACAGCTCAGATAAGCCTGTGGCCACACAGGCAATCTACAGCAACCTCACCTGACTTTCAACGTTAATGGCAAAAGCCCCTGCATCAGTCGCGTCCAGGAACACACGCAATGCCTCCGTTGGAAGCTAACCAACAGTTGCTCCTGCAACCTTCACAAGGCTTTCCCGGCGAAAGGAACGTGACTCCCGGCGTTCACGACCGGCGGGTCTCGGCTAGCTTTACCCTCCCGAGCCTTTCTCGGCCCAGCTCTCAAAACCACTCTTTTGCCAGAGTGGAATATGGCTGTGTGGCACTGGGTGTCACAGCCCCGTCACGGTGGCTGAGCCTACCTCGTACCGCTGGCTCCTCCGGAGCGATTGCTGCTGCCCCCGGGCTGAGCCTGGCCCTGCCTTCTGCAGCCTGGTATGGCTTTCATCACGCCAGTCTCTCTCTGTCTCGACTGGTCGTGAGAAATGGCTAAATTTCTTGGGGTCCTGATTGAAGTTAAAAATGCCGATTTCTAGAACGTAGTACCAGAGGTAATTTTTACAAAGGATTTTATATTTATGGATGAAAATTGATAAATTTTTTATAATACACTTTTACAAGAAGATTGCCATAGATGAAACAGTTACTCATTATTCTAAGTAGCTTCGCTCCCTTTCTGTTTCACTGGCAGAGGATGCGTCCTCCTTCGCTGCTTCAGCCTTTGCCTCTGCTGTGCCTCAGTGCTGTGTGGTGCTCAGCCACCCACGAGCATTTGCTCCAACAGCCCTTCTCTTCACCTGTATAAACCCTACCGAAGTTACTTGTCTGTGCATCTCGGGCGAAGAGTACAGCAGGTCTTGTTACGTTATGTTTTCTTGGTCTAAGCAGAGAAAATTGTATCTTGAGCAGCTTTCATCTTATTAGTATGTAAAATATCCGTCATTTCTTTGAGAGAAATTTTCCCTGCTTATGCGCTGATAACGTAGTGGTTATACCACATCTCTTAGGGGATAGGATGTAGAGATCATGGAGCTTTCACTTCAGCTCAACTGCCAGTCTTCTGGATTGCTGTCCCATTTGGGCCAAGGTCCTGGACCCAACGTTTGTCTAGTGCCCCAAGAAAGCTGCTGATTTAGGGACATTTAACGGCTGTTCAGTTTTCAGAGTATTTAATGGCCTTGGGCTTCTGTTGCATTGGAAACGTTGGGCTCAGCTTTCCAAAGTGCTGGCAAAATTCAGCTCCCACCGGAGCTGGTGGGATAACTCATGGAGAACTGCGTTGAGCCAAGCCTGAATAGTCACACAAATCCCAGCGAGCCCTGGTCAGGAACAGAACCTCGCGCACGTGAGAAGAGTAGAAATACGTCAAAGGGAGAGGGAGGGAAGTCCGCCGTGCCTTCTTCATTCCTCTGCTAGATACTTCTCCCGGCGGAATCAAGGGTGATTTCTTTGGTGTCCACTGTGACTGCGGCCAGAGCTCAAGGGCGACAGAGGGGTGTCAGTCAGTCAAACTGCTGCTGCGTTCTTACCTTGGCAAAAGTGCCCGTGTTCAGGGAAATCGCCCTCCCCAGCACTGGAGGGTATAGCCGTAAATCAACTTTTTACGCTGTAGTGATAAGCACTGGCATTTCTCCCTGTGATGTGCAAGTTCATCCTCTAGCCAGGCTTCTGCACCGGAATGCAGGAAGAGGAGAGCCCCCAGGGCCGCAGGATCTCAATGTACATGAGCTCAGTAAAGCTGAATACTTTGAGACCTCTTGACTAAGCAACCTGCGCTCAACCTGTACGGCATGCCCTTTCGTCTCCTCCCCGACAACGATACTGCCAGGTCTCTCCATGTACGGACATCCCTTGGTGAGGGAGGACTTTCTCTGGAATATCTGCTCCTATCTTTTCCCTTTGGTCAGTCGTAAGCTGCTGAAAATTGAGTCAAGCCCCAGAAAGCCATGAAGTCCCTCTTTAATAAAATAAAGGAACAAAGCTATTTGCCTGAAAACAGTAAAGAAAGAGTGAAGATTTTAATTCTGTTTAATATTTCTGTTTAACGCTGTCCTAATTATTGATTGTTCTTCTTGTAGGGAATTTTAAGCCTTGAGTACTGTGTGGGTATTATTGGTGGCAAACCCAAGCAGTCCTATTACTTCACTGGATTTCAAGGTTAGTGTTTTAATATGTTATGGCTCTTCAATATTTTTCTTTAAGAGTTAGGAAGTTAATATCGAACCAGTGGGAAATAGCATGATTAAAATAGCAAAATGAGTACCTTATTAATTCATCATATCTACCAAAGTCCAGTCGTTTGTCATTTACCCCACAGAGTAATTGGATTCTGTAAAATGTACATTTAATTTCCGTTGTTGCATAAACAAGGCATAACTTATCTGTTTCACCAAACTTCAGAGCGTTTGCTGTTACTACCTGGCAGTTCTTATTTACGTATTTACTTTCTCCTAGTTTAAGTGGTGTTAGTTGATGCTTAAATGACAAGCAATATATTCCTCCTGTCAGGATGAAGCAGCACAATACATTTTTCATATGCAAACTCCAGAATATAATTGTGTGTTTGTAAAAGTAATTTTATCACCAAAAATTAAATGACAGTCTCATCACTTTATAAAAATTCTGCTTATACAAGCATATTTGATTATGCAAAAGTTAATCTGTCCTGCAAAAACCTATGCTTCAGTCAATGAATATCAGCCTGGCAAGCAGTTACTTGCTGGCTTTTTTTTTTTTTTTCAGCTGTTCTGCATAGAAATTGGATTGTAAGCAGTGTAATAATAAGGTGTTTTTTGAATTACTTGTCTTCTGTTTTGTCCTTGTAGATGACAGTTTGATTTACATGGATCCTCATTACTGCCAATCTTTTGTAGATGTCAGCATAAAGGATTTCCCTCTTGAGGTAGTATGGATATAGACCTGGCACTGTTTTCTTCCCATATGAATCAAACACTAATTATTTAGAGATGTTCTGGCTAGCTGCATCTTTATGGTTTTACAGTTACGTGTTATTTATCAAAGTTCTGCCCTTTTTTATAGGCCTATAATCAACAAAAATGACCAGAGGTTAAAACCTCAGTATGGGGTTTTAATTTTTACTTCATTAATCTTTGTCTGTTTATCTTTAATGATCAGAAAACCTCAGAAATAGATGATCACTTCATTTAAGTAATTTTCCATGAAAGAACACAGGCAGTACTTGGACATCTTAAACCTGAATTGTCTGGATTTGATTTTGTTAGCTTGTCTTTTGGGTCATTTTTATTTTATTTTAATTTCAAGTTGCGAGCACCATCGTGGGGAGAACTACTGTAGTATTCAAGGGTAGGAGCCCGCGGGCAGTTTGGCACCAGAGTTCCTGTAGGTTCACCTACTGCTGCTTCATCCAGGAATTCATAATGTTTCCGTACTGGAATAGGTGGTTATCCTCTGAAATGTGCCTTTTGCTCCTGACAGCTCTGCAGGTCGCTCTTCCAGCTCCGTACAAGTGGAATTTTTTGAGGGTTATCAGGGAGGCCTGTGGTTGACTAGGTGAATTTTACTCAGTTTGACTTCCGAACCGTTTCTTTTAACGAGTGTTACTGTAATTTTGAATCAAGCTATTTCGATGGAGCAGTAGTCTCCAGGAAACCTACAGGTCTGAAAGCGTAGCTGCTGCTCTTGGTCTTTCTTTCCCCCCGACCCCTTTCTAGGCCGTGACTTTCTGGGCTCGTCTAGCGAGTGCATCTTTTCAGGCTATGCCAAGGTCTTAAAAATCCTGCTTGGCTTTTTTACAGCAGTGTCTTTCCTTTTCACTGGCACTTGCGAAATAACCTGCGCTGAAAACAGACGAAGCTTCCAGTACCTGAAGGGGGCTACAAGGGTGCTGGGAGAGGACTTTTTACAAGAGCCTGTAGTGACAGGACAAGGGGTAACGGGTACAAATTGAAAGCGGGGAGGTTTAGATTAGGTATCGGGAAGAAGTTCTTCCCGGAGAGGGTGGGGAGGCACTGGGACAGGTTGCCCAGAGAAGCTGTGGATGCCCCATCCCTGGAAGTGTTCAAGGCCAGGCGGGATGAGGCTTGGAGCAACCTGGTCTAGTGGAAGGTGTCCCTGCCCATGGCAGGGGGGTTGGAACTGGGTGGTCTTTAAGGGCTCTTCAACACAAACCATTCTATGATTCTGTGATTCTAAAGGAGGTTATGAAAGAACTCCGTTTACAGGTACCATGTGAAAACAGTTTCAGAAGTGTCCAGTAGCCGTGGTACTCACCGCAGCAGTACTCTGTGCTATCCAAACAACTCTCCTTGATCTTGTGTCCAACCTCCACATCAACTTCCAGCCCCCTGGGCGCAACTCTTCATCCCGCGCAGTAGAAACACTCTGGGTGCATCCACTGCTTAGGGCAGCGTCCGCCGCTCTAGAACAGAGTTGGGGGTTAGTAGTGGCTCCTCATGCTACTGTGTTCTCTGCAGTTAAGTACTCCTAAACGTGGACACACAGCCTCAGAAACAACGTACTGCATTAAATGAGGAGGAGGAATATGTATGTGTCCCCATCACCCCAGAAATACTGGCTAATATTAATGTGGCTAATATTGGCAAAGTGCTGTAAACAGTGAAAGTGGGCAACTCAAACTCACACCTGAGGAACTGAGTAGGTGATCTTAAACTGATGTGGAACCTAAGTCAGATGGTGTGTGATGAAGCCAGGTATCTTCATGGCTTCTGTTTTGTACAGCAGCTGACAACAGTGGAATGACCGCAATGTTCCTGTTGTTGCCATCGTGAAAAGAAAATCTGTTAATGTACGTTGAAGTTTATCACGATGCCCTAATCAAAACACCATCAACTAGTGTTTACAAAAAGGACTTCTGTATCTGTTAAAGGATTTACACAGGGCTAACGTCAAATCCTAGGGCTGATGTAAAGCAAACACTATGTATTTTTCAGTATTTATGCTTAGCAAGATGCTTGAGTTAGCATGACACATAATCTAGAAGTATAAGATTGTGTAGAAGATGAGAAGGTGCTGAATTAAAAAAAGGAACGTAGCAGCAAAATGTATCAGAAAATATGCTGGACAGAAACTTTCAGTATTTTTAGAGATGCCTTTACATTTACCCTGTTGAGATATTTGGAAGAAGAGTTGGTGGGTCCTGGCTCTGCCCATTTGTGTTGTGGCAGCAGCCAGAGATGGTAACCAAGATCCCTGTCGCTTTATGCTAATTACTGTAGTAAAATACAGTGCCTTCTCTGGAGAGTTTATGGGTGAATTGGGTAAGCCAGACAAAAGATGGGAAGAGCGCAGAGAAGCAGAACTGAAGTGACTTCCTTAAGGTCACCCTGTAGCTCAGAGGCCAAGCTACAAAAACTGGTCTGTTCCTGGGACTAACCCTCCAGACTGTGCTGCAGTCTGGCATTAATAGGAATTTCCAAATAATCATAAGGTTTTAAAATGTATTTTGAAGGTACGTGAGCTGCCAGCTGGGCTTGATCGCATCCTAATGCTTTCCTGCAGACGGGAAATGTATTGCAATTTAATGCTTAGTGCATTTAATAGTGTTACGTCTTTGTCCAGAAGTGTCAAAAGTAAACAGAAATTGCTTTCTTAGTGTGGATAGTTGCTTGTTAGATTTATCTGTAGGGAGTATTTTCAAAATTGACAAATTGTCCAGAATAAGTTGGAAATCAATCCACTCTGTATTGGCTTCCAGCATCCATTTGTTTGGAGGAGTGGGAAGAAGAAAGCCAGCCTACCCACTTCTCTTTGTGCAGTGATTGTACAGCACGGACACTGCAGCACAGCTGTAGTGCCTGTCTTGTGGCTGCAGCGCGGCCCGTAAGGCAGGGTTCGATTTAACTGTTTGATGAGTCGGGAATGAATATGCAAAATGTAATTTCTGCATATAAAACTTGAACAGAATCAGGAGAAAAGCCAGTGACTGAAGCCAACCCGGTAGAAACAAACAGTACTTCTCACCTTTGCTCGTATTTTTTAGCAGCGGTTTAACAGGGATACCTCTCAGGTTTGTGTTCACGAGTAAAGGACAGTGTAGCTCAGTATGTGGAAGAGTTCCACTGGCAGAGGCACTCGGAGCAGGTGACTGAATTAGGTCTCGGTGGATTGACTTTTCTGACTGGGGAAAAACCCCTAAGAGATAAAGGGGTTCCTAGCAGGCAGCCTGCCTGACGTTAGCTGCCGGGGTTGCTGTAGGCGGGCTGGGTCGTAGCTGTGGCTGGTTACGCCCCGCTGAGGAAACGTGGTGGGGTCGGTAGGAAACCTGCCGCCTTGCTCCGTCCTGGCGTTCCCGTTGCGAGATGCCGGCCTGGTCCTGTGCTGACGGGCACTGTGCCGGAAGGGCTGCGCGTGGCTCACGTGCGAACGCGAGAGGAGACGCGCAGGCTCGTCGCCGGAGAGCACAGATCACTGGGGGAAGTTCGACACCAAAATCTGGGCGTTTGTACGGTGTGGCTCTCTTCACGGCATGGCGCAGGCGTGCGCCAGCGCTCGTTACTGAGCAGCTGTAGCGGGATTTAACCGTGGCAGGGTGACCGGGGAGTCCTGCGTGTCAGCAGCAGAATAAAGAGGACTGCCTTCCAGGGACAGTGCCGACCAAATAATTTCAGTTACCAGACAATGAGCTTCACCAAAACCACAGTTCCTGTGATAAACAAACACGTAACCGGGGTAGATGGCATATGCTTATCCTTTCTCTTGTAAACTGTGAATGAGGAGTGCGGGGAAGGGTTCTGTGTGTTTGTTTTTCCTACAGCATGGCTGCGGATGGTGTCGGTTCACAGCGCCGTCAGAGCAACATCTGTCAGGAACAGAGGTTTCATGAGGGAAAAACACACTGATGAAGCAGGGCATGTTGTTTGGGTTTTTCCTGACTTGTGGATTATCGTAATATGGTTTTGCTGTTGTGGTTTTGTGGGGTTTTTAACCAATTTCATTTACTAAAGGAAAATGCATGAGGTTGGTTTATTCCATTATGTCTCTTTTATAGCGGCTGGGGGAGGGAAAGGGGCAATGGGCGGTGGTAGTAAAGCAGTAATTGTGGGATCGTGCAAAAGCTGTTACCAATTCAATTTGCAGAAGAGCATTCACCTCCTCTGCCTTGGGAATATTCATAAAGTGCCGCTGGGAGCGGCAGACCTCTGGCAGGTTTCAAACCGAGGTGGTGGTGTGTGCAAGTTTGGTGAACACGGCGTAAACAGCGGGAGGTTTCATACGTGGGAGAAGGGTGGAATGACTCGGATGTTGTTGGGGGTGGAGGAAATGGGTTAAGAAGTGTGTGCAGGGTTTGCAGCCAGCTGATCCAGGGGGTTGTGCGTTAAAGCTGGCGGCGGGTAAATGCGTTGGTCTGTGCCTCCTCGACCTTAACCCTGTATTTCATTTTTTTTAATCCTGAAACTTGCAGTCATTCCACTGTCCTTCTCCCAAAAAGATGTCCTTCAAAAAAATGGATCCGAGCTGCACGATAGGATTTTACTGTAGGACGGTGCAGGACTTCGAGAAGGCTGCCGAGGAGATCACCAAGGTGGGTGCCGCGGCGTCCCTCCCCGAGAAGGGCCCGCGTGGGGAGGGG